GAGGGGGAAGGGGAGGGGGAAGGGGAGGGGGAAGGCGGTAAAAGTCAAGCTCGGTGGTGAAGGAGAAGGAAGGCAAAAGGGAGGGGGAAGGGGAAGGACAAGCGGAGGGGGAAGGGGAAGGCGGAAGGCGGAAAGAGTCTGCTGTAAATCGGAAGCAAGAACAACAGCGTCAGCAGGAGCACCGGCAACGCAACGCGCACTGTAGCGGGACGGGAGACGGGGGACCGGGGACGGGGGGACGGAGGAGAGGGGAGGAAGCGCACACAAGGAGAAGGGGGAAGGTAGAGAGAAGGGAGGGGGAGGGAACAGCGACCAACTCACACCGTGACAGCGCGGCCATCGACGTGTAGCGGCTGTCTTCCCCCATGGCGCCCATTCGGATCGGATTCAATGAATCAGTGCTGCAGTATATCCTGGACTGTAATACGCGGGAAACAAATTCACTTTAGGCGGAAAACAAATTCACTTTACGCGGGAAACAAAACCATTCTACGCGGGAAAACAACGCTAATTAGTATGAATATATTAACGTGTGCAGTCGGTTTGTCCAATCAATTACAACAAATTGGATGTGCTCAATTTTCATCAATCATAGCACTACTGTGAGAATAATATACGCGGGAAACAAAACTACTCTGCGCGGGAAAACAGCGCGCGCTTATTACTAGTTATGGAGATATGATTACACCCATGCCCGCATTAACTATGTATGATCCCTCCAGAAAGGGAAGAGGCGCCATGCGCCAAAAATAAAACAAGTTCAATCAATAAGGCGCCAGGCGCCAAAAATAAAACAAGACCAATCAATAAGTGTCCAAGGCCGGGACTCTCCCACACACCACGCACCACACACAACCCACTCACACACCCAGTCTCGCCCGTCTTCAGCCAAGACCACGACGGGTGTGAGTGTGTGTGTGTGTGTGTGTGTGTGGGCTGCGTGTAGTGTGAGGCAGAGTCCTGACCTAAGACACTGCTGTTACTCCATGGGGGTGGGGGAGGAAGAAAATGGAGGCGCAGCTATTAGCAAAATGCTCGGTCTTGTGTTTGCCGGGCCCCACAGGCGGCCCCCTCCTACTCCCTGACTATAGCTGTTAGCGAGTCTCGTGAGTTAAAAAAAAAAGGGCGGGGGACAACATGCATCCCCTTCATTGAACGGTAACTATGCTTGCAGGGGTCTACGTAGCCTTGGAAGTGGTGGCAGGCAAAAAAAAAAAAAAAAAAAAATGGTGAATGACTCAGCCGCCAGCTCAGTTGGTAAGGCACGCAAGTGGCATTCAGGAGGTCTTGGGTTCAATCCCCACCGCCTCATGTACGTTCGTGGGGCATGCTTGGCGCCTGCCACCTAGAGATAGACCACTGGATCCCCGGATAGGCATTTAGCGGACTCTGCTGAGCGTAGGGGGGGGGAACTGGACAGGAGGCCCAGGGATTGATCCTGTTGGCATGCTCCCTGATGCTGTTGCCCATCTGCAGATAGGGTGCAGCTCCAGCATATTCGCTCGTGAACACCACTGTCGCCTGCTACGGGGTTCACCATAATACTATGAGATCAGGGGTAGTAGTAGGCAGGTAGTGTAAGGTGAATGTAGGCCCCGCCACACTACTTTTGAAAACGTATTTTCAAGAGTCTGTGACGTACCAGCTTCTGTACCTGAACAAACTTCCTGTAGCGGACCCACCAGGTGTGGTGCTCCGCTATGGAGATGGAGGAAGAAGGGGGGGAGCGAGATGGCACAACGCAGCTCCCCACGCAAGACTCCAACGCACGTACTCCAAAATGTGCAAGTGAAAAATGAGAATGAAAACAGACAATGGCTGGGGTATACCCCAGCGGACTGACG